ACAAAGGTCTCATCAGCCATGTGCAGCCCACCCTGCTCAGACCATATTTAAAGACAGCTCTTTTCCGCTCCAGGGACAACACCAATGGTCCCCTCTGCCCCCTCTCTTCCTTCCCTCCACCTTCACCACTCTCTTAATCCTCATGCATGTCTGCACCATGTTGTCTAGTGTCTAGACATGTATGAATGAACAAGCTCCCTAAAGACAAGGGGCACACACACCCCTCTTTACCCCACAGACAGCAGGAGCTTGCCTAGGGTAGGTCCCCAGGAACCCTGGGGATAAAACGTCACAGCAGACATGTCCAATTCCATGACTAAACAGTCATGTGAGCTTGGTCACTTGCTTCCCCTTCTGCTTTGGTTTGATGGATGGCCATCGGCCATGGCTCTGCAGCCTCCGTGGTGACTGGGAGCAGATGGGGAACATCTGAGGACAGCATTTTGACGGGATAAGAAGCAATAACTAATATAAAAATTAGCTGGGGAGCTGGGCGCGGTGGCTCATGCCTGTAATCGCAGCATTTTGGGAGGCCGAGGCAGGTGGATCACCTGAGGTCACGAGTTTGAGACCAGCTTGGGCAACATGGTGAAACCCCGTCTGTCTCTACTAAAAATATAAAAATTAGCAAAGTGTGGCCGGGCGCAGTGGTTCAAGCCTGTAATCCCAGCACTTTGGGAGGCCGAGACGGGCGGATCACGAGGTCAGGAGATCGAGACCATCCTGGCTAACCTGGTGAAACCCCGTCTCTACTAAAAAAATACAAAAAACTAGCCGGGTGAGGTAGCGGGCGCTTGTAGTCCCAGCTACTCGGGAGGCTGAGGCAGGAGAATGGCCTAAAAACTCGGGAGGCGGAGCTTGTAGTGAGCTGAGATCTGGCCACTGCACTCCAACCTGGGCAACAGAGCGAGACTCCGTCTCAAAAAAAAAAAAAAATAATTAGCAAAGTGTGGTGGGGTGCACTTGTAATCCCAGCTACTTGGGAGGCTGAGGCTGGAGAATTGCTTGAACCTGGGAGGCAAAGGTTGCAGTAAGCTGAGATCACATCACTGCACTCAAATCTAGGCAACACAGTGAAAGAGTGAGACTGTCTCAAAAAAAAAAAAAAAAAAAAAAAAGAAGCAATGACTACTCTAAAACCCAAGGTCAACCAACAGCCACCTTGGCAGCAGATCCCCAAGCTGCTGGTAACAATAGCCACCATTTACTGGGTTCTGTCATGCGCCAGACCCTGTCTTAAGTGTTTACATACATTATCTGCTTTAATCCTCACCACAACCTGGAAGGAAGCTGAGACTCAGAGACCTTCATTCATTTGCCAAGGACACACAGCTAACAAATGGAGGTGTCAGGATTCAAACCTGGGGCTAGAGCCAGGCATGGCGGCACACACCTGTATTCCCAGCTATTCAGGAGGCTGAGGAGGAAGGATCACTTGAGCCCAAGAGTTTGAGACCCCATCTCTAACAATGTTTTTTAAACCTGGAGTGTCTGACTCAGGAGCGTGTGCTCATTCCTACCCCGCATGCTGCCTGCACACATTCTCTTCCATGCAAGCCCTTCATCTGCTGACATCATTCCTATGTAACAGGCACCACGGAGGAGGCGGGAAAGACCCAGCCCTCAAGTCCACACCCCAGCAGGGACAATTCAGGACAATGAGAACTCTGAAGGCATGGAAACACAGGGAACTGGGGGTCAGTGCCATATTCTATTCAGCTGCTTCCCTGGCCTGACACTGAGTAGTCACCTGGTACATGTCAAACAGGTCTGAACAGAGTTAGAAACCAAGGCAAGGTGACCCCAAAGTAAGGAACATGCACATGTCACTCAGAGGCCATGGTGCCTCCACGTCCACCTTAGGCAACTATGTCCTCTCCAGAACAGGGTGAAACTGGTTTCCATCAAAAACTCTACAAGATGTTAATAGGTGGTAAAAAATAATAGAATAATAAATTGAAGATTCATATTAAATATTTTAAACAAAGAGCTGTTTTTAACTGCAGAATTCAGAACTTTTAGCATGCTTAGAGGCAATGCATCTCTTTACTTAAACACTTTTTAAATCAAAAAAAAAATAATAATGGTGGCCAGGAGCGGTGGCTCACATCTGTAATCCCAGCACTTTGGGAGGCCAAGGCAGGCAAATCACTTGAGGTCAGGAGTTCAAGACTAGCCTGGCCAACATGGTGAAACCCCGTCTAATAAAAAGACAAAAAATTAGCTGGGTGTGGTGGTGTGCGCCAGTAGTCCCAACTACTTGGGAGGCTAAGGGAGGAGAATCACTTTAGCATGGGAGGTGGATGTGGCAGTGAGCCGAGATCATGCCACTGCACTCCAGCCTGGCCAACAGAGTCAGTCTCAGTCTCAAATAATGTTGATAATAATAATAATGGAGACTGGGGTCTCACTATGCTGTCCAGGCTGGTCTTGAGCTCCTGGGCTCAAGCAATCCTCCTACCTTGGCCTCCCAAAGTACTTGGATTACAGGTGTGAACCACCACTTCCCGCCCTTGCATTTCTAAAAAGAGGAAGCAGAAAGCAGTGTTTCCCAAATGTCTTTCAAGAGATGCCTATCAGTGTCCTGAGGAACACCAAGGGTCTGAGGCATCACCTTGCAAACACTGGATCAGGCATGGGCCTCTTGTTTTGAAACACAATTCATGGGTTATCAAATATGGAAACATTCTCAGAGATCAGCTAGCCTGCCACCCGTTTTATAGATGGGGAAACTGAGGCCCAGAGAGGGAAGAAGGTTGCCAAGGCAACACAGGGCCTCTACAGCCATTGGGTCTTGACCCCACCCCTTGGGGTCCAGAGGCCCAGCTCCAGCTGCCTGTTTGGCTGGGCCAGGTTCCAGGTTTCTATGTAGGTCTCTCCTATCAAACCCTCAACTCCTCAAAGCCAAGGTCTGGTCTCTCTCACCTCCCAGCCCCAACTCCTGGCCCAGTACCCTGCACAGAGGATACATTCACAGAAATTCCCAGCAGCTGGAAAGGCTCAGGGTAGACGCCAGGAAGGGCTTTCCAGCAGCTGCGTACAGATGGCAGGAACGGGCAGTGAACTTCTCTGAAGGCTTCTCAGAAGAGGGCAGAGGCCGGACTGCCAGAGGCAGTGCAGGGCACTGGCTCCAGCTTCCTGGTTTCCAGAAAGGGTGGAGTTGGTAGTGAAGGAAGATTCCAACCTCAAGAGCTGCCTTCCTGGCCTGGGTCTGAGACCCTCAGCTTGCACCAGAAACAGGGAGGGGCGAGAGCCCCTGTTGGGACAAGCCATGGAATGCCATCCTCCTCCCCCAGAGTTCAGGCCCTTTGCCTCCAGGAAGCCACTCCTGCCCACTCCAGCCTCCCTGATATTTTCCTCCTTGGAACTCTGACAGCAACTCAGCTCAGGGAAGGTGAGCCCAGGCTGAGCATGGCCTCAGGGGCTCCCAATAGGAAGTGGAGACTGGCCCGTCCTCTAGGCAATGCAGTAAGGAGGCAAAGCACATCTGAAGGTGTCTACTCCTCTGAGGGAAAGTCATAGAGAAAAGAATTCCAACCAAGGTGCCCAAGGTGTGTCCCAGAAGTGGACCTCTCAGTGGGGCTGCAGCAGTGCCTAGATCGCCAGGAGGCAGCGGGAGAACAGTGCTCCAGGGGAAGGCAGAGCAGGCCCAAAGGCCCAGGCAAGGAAAGGAGGTAGGAGCAGGAACACCTGCAGCTGCACTTGCAGCCTAGGGGCAGTAAAGCAGAGTGATCAGAGGTTGGGCTGGGACCAACCACAGGTCCCAGTCCACATCCTACCATCATTTGCTGGGCAAGCTCAGGCCCGTCGCTGAATCAATTTGTGCCTCAGTTTCCTTCCTAAAATGAGAATAATAGCATCTACTCATAGGGTTGTTGGGAGGATGAAGTCCGATGACAGGAGCCCTCAGAGCTGAGCCAGCACCTGGGGAGGCCCTAGAGTGTCGCCTTCACTGTTAAAGGGCATGGCACAGGAGGCCCACCCATGACAGAGGAGCTTGTCATCACAAGCAGGAGTGCCACCTGGTCTGACATTAGGATTCAAAAGGCAAATTATAAACTCCTGACGGTGAGGCCGCGGTGGCTGCTCGGTAAATACTTGTGCACTTGACCTGAGGTGAGCATGCTCCACACCTCCCAGTGCTGGCCTAATAGCTAAATGATTTCCTCTGACTGACATTTATTGAGCAGTCACAGTCACTATGCTAGGTAGGGTGTGTGTGTGTGTGTGTGTGTGTGTATTCTTATTCAATTCTCTCATCACTTGGGGATATCACAGGTGCATAAGATTATCAGCATTGTACATATGCAAAAGCCGAGTCCTGAGAGGTTAATAGCATGATTTGCCTAAGGCCCCTTGGGTATTAGTGGCAGGATTTCTTGACTTCGAGTCACTTTCCGCTGCACCCCAGACTGAGGATGACGCAGCCTTATCCAAAGGTGGAGGTGGCCTAGAAATTGCTCAGGGCAACTCCCACAGCCACCCCAGTGCACCCAGACTCAGCTGAAGACCCACAGGGCGGCTTCTGTCTGTCACTACGCTGCCCTCGACCACTAACCTGTGCCCATCGGCCCTCCACCTTCCCAGTGCATAGTTCCTCCCCAGCCACACCCTGAAGCTCTCTGGATACCCCAGTATAACCTGCCTGGCTGGCGGGTCCAGTACCCAAGCCCGCTCCTCCATCCCTGGTGATTTTGGTTCAGCATCCAGAGACTCAGTGAAGATTTCCCTGGGAACTTCAAGCCTGCACCTCAGCCTCAGAAATTCAGAATCAACCTGTCTGGGGTGGGATCTGGGCTCCAGTATGTTTTTGTTGTTGTTGTTTGTTTGTTTGAGACAGAGTCTTACTTGTCACCCAAGCTGCAGTGCAGTGGCGCCATCTCGGCTCACTGCAACCTCCACCTCTTGAGTTCAAGTGATTCTCCTGCCTCAGGCTCCCATGTAGCTGGGATTACAGGTGCATGCCACCACGCCCAGTTAATTTTTGTATTTTTAGTAGACATGGGGTTTCACCATGTTGGCCAGGCTGGTCTCGAACTCCTGACCTCAGGTCATCTGCCCGCCTCGGCCTCCCAAAGTGCTGGGATTACAGGAATGAGTCACCATGCCTGGCCCAGTATGTTTTTCTTAATTCCACAAGTGATTCTAAATTCAACAAGAATTAGAGCCAGTCCTAGGCAACTGATTAGAAATGCAGAACCGCAGGCCCCACCCCAACCTGAAGAATCCCAGTGCACTTCCCATGTGAGAAACACTGCCCTACGCCAAACCCCACATCCACAAGCCAGGCCCTGTGAAAGGCCCCCACAGGGCAACTGGAGGTAGGAGGATGCACAGGCCAGATAGAATTAAAGAGTGGATTGCCAGGACCCTCCAGGTCGCATCCACACAGCACTCAGAGGTGCTAAATGCTTTCCCTGGGTTCCTTCATCCCATCTCAGCCCTGTCCTCTGAGAGTCAGGAAGACAGTCTCATGCCTGTGTGGGGAAACTGAGGCGGGGGCAGAGCCTCAACTTGACCAGACCGTCCCTCACTCCTGCATGGCCCCTGGCTCTGCAGCCAGTAGATTTCCTGACCTTCATCTCAGTGTATCCTGCAGGGCAGGCAGAGAGGGAGGGTGACCATTGCCCCATGTGACAGGTGAGGGACCATGGACCCAGGGTGCGGAACACAGGTGGAGCCTTCCATAAAGCAGGGCCGGTTCCCTCAGGAAGAGGACTTGGGAGCTGGGGGGTGAAGGGTAACTGCTGACCAGCGGCAGCTCTGCCAGGCAGTGTCATCAGTGGGTTTCATGTTTGACTGACAGATATTTCTTTCCTCTCCTCCTCTCCGGGGCCCATCTTCTGAGTAAATCTAGGACCTGCCTTAACAAAAGCCAGGCCAAGTCCCAGGAAAACTCTATTGCTCTAGAAAGGCCTCCTTGGGCCATGGAAGGAAGCCTGGATTTCCACCATTACGCTTAGACCACAGGCCCCTCTCTGCTGCGGAATAAACACCCAGAGAGAGGGCAGGTTACGGAGCCCACCAGGCACCACACCTTGCCATGGACGGTGACAAACCCTCACTTCAGGACAGAGAGGTGATGGGGGGTGGGGTAAGGGGGTCAAGGCATCCCTGGGGAAGGGTCAAGAATGAGGGGTAAAGGGACCCCTGCCACCCACAGCAGGGAAAGGAGCAGAAGGTGACACTGGCCCTCCTGTTGTCCTGCTGGGACAGAGGCCCAGGTGTCTTCAGCCAGCATCCCTCCCCTCTCCAAGCTCCCTGCTCTTCAGGAATGAGTGTGGGTCCTTCACCCTCCCCTGCTGGATAACACTGGGTTCCCAGGGTCTGGGATGGGATGGAGGGGATCCCAGTTGCCAGCATGGTGGGCAGGGATGTGTTCGCAGCAGGGGCCCCAACCACACACACAGCACTGGTCATCTGACAGCCCTTCCCACCCCCCTGCAGGCCCACCTGCCTCACCCAACACTGCTCAGCAGAAAGCCCAGCACAGCCCTGAGAGGAAGGCAGTGTCTGTGCGGGGACAAGGGAGACAGAGAGGGAGTGGCCCCTTCTGTCTAGCATGGCTTCCTGCAGACAGAGCGTGCCCATTGCTACCCCCACCCCCATCCTGGCCCAGCTGGGCCAAGGAGGGCAAAGGAGGAAGCAGGGAGTTAGAAAGGGGGCAGCTGTGGGACCCCACATTCCACCTCCTAACTCTGGGCTCTTTCCCTCCACAACCACCCCTCCTGCCCCAGGGGGGTCTCAGGCCAGTCACAGACACGGCAGAGAGCGGGGAGGCCCTTTCCTCAAAGAGGAGGAACTGAGGGGTGGAAGGATGAGTGGGGACCCACCGGGAAAGAGAGATGCCAGGCAGGCAGGCAGCGGGCGGGCAGCAGCGGGTGTTGGAGGCGACTGTGGGGCAGCCGGGACACGACTGGGTAGATGCTCGTCCCTCGTCCCTCTGTCCATCCAGGGCGGCTCCTCTCCGGGCGGTTCTGAGGCCGAGCGGGCGCTGTTAAAAAGCTTTTTATGTGTGTGTGTGTTAATCACATGATTGCCGTTCACCTGTATTTCGAACAAAGACAGCTCACTGTTTCAAGGCCCCGAACAAGAGTCTGGGCACAGGGAAGAGAAGGGAGGCGGGGGGAGGAGGGTTGGCAGCGCCGGGGGTGGCGTCGAGGAAAACTGGGGGGAGATTGTCCAAGGCCAGCAAGCGAGAGAAAGAGAAAACCCTTATCAAACTCCTAATTCACTGGGCTCCGAGGCCCCAGACACACTGGCCCGATTGTCTGGCTGGTTGTGTGTGTGAGCATGTGTGTGTGTGTGTGTGTGCTCCAGTGTCCGCTCCCCCCACCCCCAACATGCCTCTGCCTCGTGTGACTACCTCATTGTGTCCCATTACCCACCCCCCACATCCCTTTGGCCTTTCCCAAGCATGAGGCCTTGCCTCCCAGACCCCTTGTAGCCCACTCCAGACAGGACCCCTTGGGGTGGGCTTGGGGCCTTGCCCAGCTACTGAGGAGCTGAGAACCACACATGGTCACCAATGTGGCCCCGGCTCCATTGCATACCCCACATACACCCCACCTCGGCCTCAACACCTGGGCAGGGCTGCCCTCAGTTAAGAGTATGGCACTGTGACCTTTGGAGGAGAGGCCTAGGAAAGAGAGAGGAAAAGGTGTCATGGGAGGATGGCCAGGAAAGAAAAGGGGAGGGAGGGAGAGGTGGGCAGAGGAGGGAAGAGGCAGGGCAAGTCCCCACCCCTTCTTGGGGTCAGGGAATAGAGGACTTCGTGACAACCAGGACTAGTACTCCCCCACCCTCTCCCAAGACAGGGTGAGCCCAGTGTGGAAGGAGTTGGGTCCCAGGAAGTAGGAACCCAAAATGCCTCCAAGACCTACTGAGAGAGGACCCTACCCTGTCCCACCTTGGCCTCCTGGCAGCTTTAGTCTTGTGTTTCCACCTTGAACCAGACCAGCCCATGTGCGTGTGCTGGGTGTCTGCAGAGAACAGACCAGGGGTCAAGCTGGGGCTCTACACTTCTCAGAGGGAGCCCTGAGAAGTCCCTCACACTGTACAGGATGGGGCAGAAAGGGCCGCCTGGGAAAAGATGGGAGGCAGGGTGAGGAGCTGGGCATCAGTGCCTGGCACACAGTAGGCACTCAACAGGATTTTGCAGATGAAGCAGCTCAGGCCTGCCACCCTCACAGGCCCGCAGGACCCTCACCACCTTCACGTCTCTCCCTAGTTCCCTGCCAAGTGCCCATCCTGCCACCTGAGGCAGACTTTGGGAGTCCCAGTTGGGCCCAGTTTTCTTCCATTCAACAGGTTCTGAGCCTCCATCCTACATCTCTTCCTTCCCCGGCCTAACCTCCCCTTCGCCTCCCGGACTAAGCTCAAGCTAAGCCCCAGCAAGATGGGCCTGGGCAGCAGGGCAGGGAGCTGGGTGGGGGGGCCTGGGCTCCGGGTGGAGGAGCCCTGAGTGTTGGGGATGAAGGAAAGCCTGGAGGCTCCACCTTCTGCCCTTCCCTCCCTCCTCTCCCCCTCCCCCCTCTCCCCCTCCTTCCTTCCCCAGCCCTCTGCAGCGGCTCAGTCGCTCAGTCAGTCTCGGGCTGTCCGGCCAGGGTGGTTGGTGGTAAGGATTCAGGCTCCGTCCTAACGAGGCCGTGGCCTAAGGCTCAGGGCCCCCCGCCCCTCCCTCCCAGCCCACCAGCGTTACCCCCCAGCCCCGAGCTGGACCGCACACCTTGGGACACGGTTTTCCACTTCCTAAGGACGAGCCCCAGACTGGAGGAGAGGTCCGAGGAGGTGAGTGCGCAGCCTGCTCCTCCCTGGCCCGCCCAGGCCTGGGACCCTGCTGGGTGGGGTGGAGAGAGGCGACACCCCGCCCTTGCCCCCCACCTGGCTCTCCTCTAAACCCCGTTGGGGCAGGCTGAGGGAAGAAGGAAAGGTGAGAGAAAAGGTGGGAAATTCCAGGGGCCGGGATTAGAGCAAAATAAAGGTTCCGTTTTTTTCTTCCTATCATCAACAAACCTCCACCCAAAAAAGGAGGCTAAAAAAAAAGCCACCCACACCAAGAGACGGTTGGGACCAGGTGGTGGGAAGACGCAGAGGCAGGACGCACCCACCTAGAGTCTGGCATGTGCGTGGGCCCCAGGGGCCAGAGTGGGTTTAGCTGGAGCTAGGAAGGGCCGCCACCTCGGGGCTGTCCCCGCGTCCTGTCCCAGGCCGCCCTCGAGGCTGCGCGCGCGGTCGCTCCATCGCGCCCTCCTTCCATCCAGGTGGGCGTTGGACTCTTTGCGAGGACCCCGGCGGCTGGCCCGGGGGAGGCGGCCGAGGCGGCGGCGGCGGCGGCCGGGGGCGACATGGCGGAGGAGCAGGACCTATCGGAGGTGGAGCTGAGCCCCGTAGGCTCGGAGGAGCCCCGCTGCCTGTCCCCGGGGAGCGCGCCCTCACTAGGGCCCGACGGCGGCGGCGGCGGCGGATCGGGCCTGCGAGCCAGCCCGGGGCCTGGCGAGCTGGGCAAGGTCAAGAAGGAGCAGCAGGACGGAGAGGCGGACGATGACAAGTTCCCCGTGTGCATCCGCGAGGCCGTCAGCCAGGTGCTCAGCGGCTATGACTGGACGCTGGTGCCCATGCCCGTGCGCGTCAACGGCGCCAGCAAGAGCAAGCCGCACGTCAAGCGGCCCATGAACGCCTTCATGGTGTGGGCGCAGGCGGCGCGCAGGAAGCTCGCGGACCAGTACCCGCACCTGCACAACGCCGAGCTCAGCAAGACGCTGGGCAAGCTCTGGAGGTGAGCACCCGACCGCCCCCCGGGCTCGGGCCCTCTGGCTTCGGGTGGATTCAGGGTAGCTGAGGCGGCCCGGCCTCCTGCACCCCGGAGCGGGACTGCCTGGCAGTCCTCCTTGGATAGGGCTGGAAGACCAGGTGTGGGGACCCCGCCCGCCCTTCCACCACAAGGACCCTAGAACTCCGAATTCCAGCTGCCTAGGCCAGGTCTTCCCACCGGGCGGCGGGCAGGAAGGCGCCCCCTCGTGGTTGGAATTTTGGGGGTGGCAGACCGTGGGGCCTGGGGCTTCGGAGAAAGGGAAGGAAGCCTTCACTAACTCCCTGCCCACAGATATGCACACTCATGCCACCAGCTGCTGTGGTCAGGAGGATTCGAGGGAAACGCTTGGAAAGAACCAAAGGGTTGGCTGGAGATGCAGGGAAACTGAGGCAGATGGAGAACTCAGGGGAGGTTCAAAGAAAACAAGGAATTCAGATGAGAGTCTTTGGAAGAGTGGGGGATGAAGAACTGCGGGTACAAATGTTTCTGCTGCTGCAGGATCTCATCCTATCCTTGGGGTCTTCCCTGGGACTTTCTGACCCCACCCTCCTTTGAGTTGGGGGCTTCTTCATCCTCCTAGGGAGAGGACACACAGAAAGGGGCCTCCCCCTCCTGCTCTGCCCCAGAGCCACCAAGTTGATCTCTTTCCTTTCCTCCCTCTCCCAGTTCGGCGCCATCTTCCCTGCCAGGGCCCCACCCCAACGTTGAGCAACCTCTTCCCCCCTGCCCCAGAGCTGGAACTGAGCACTCTGGCCAGAAGGAAACCTTGGCCCCCTTCCTGCCCAGGGGCCCTCAGAGTCCCAGGTTCCCTGGGACCAGCCCACACCTCTAGGAAAAACATCCCCCCCAGGGAACAATTCTGCCACCCTCGACTCAGGTCTGGGGTTCAGCCCGGCCTCCTGGGGATGTGTGGAACAAGGCAACCCCCTACTCCCACCCCGGGAATGCCAGAGCAGCTCCGAAAGAGAACAGGGACTCCAGGAGATGTGAGTCGGTAGCAGTCACCTGATTCCCGCTAGACTGGCCAAGAGACAGGCCCAGAAAGGCAAAGGAATTGCAAAGGTCACATAGAAGTTAGTGGCAGAGCCAGGGCCAGAACCCAGGACTCCCATACTCTGTCCAGAGGACTTCCCCCAACCCTGGTGACAGTGGTGGATCACCTACCCTCTGAGGAGTGGTCAGAATGTTGTGGGGAAGCAAGAAGATAAGAACAAGAGTGAGGAGCATCTGGGTTCCAGAAAATTAGGGCTTTGTCAGAGGAGCCCAGCTCTCTTCCACTGCCCTTTCCCGTGCTGACCACAGTTGGGTAGAGATTGGGTCTAGAAACTTAGCGTGGTAGAAGGTGCAGGAGGGTCTCCAAGAGACCAAAAGATTCACATCCAGCCCCCTGGCTTGTTCTTGCCATGTGTTTGCTGAAGACCTGGTGCCCCTTCCCCTGCCCCTTCTCAGCCCTCAGTGCCCTGCTCACCCAGGGCAGGCCCAGGGCTCACCAACCAGCCCGCTGTATGGACCCAGACAGCCCAGTTCTGCTCAAGAGTAGAGGTCACAGCTAGCTCCTCCGCCCAAGGTCCATCCAGATCTGGGGGGGGCTTGGCCCAGGCCAGTACCTTTAGTGCCAGGGGACAAAGAAGAGCAAGTGAGAAACAGACAACCAGGAGAGACATACAGACAGGGCAGACCCTGAGGACCATGAGAAGACCACAGTGCGAGCCCAATGAGAGTCAAAGCAAGGACGGACCTAATTCTCCCTCCATCTCCCATTGCCAAGGGTTTAAGATTGGCTCCTCCATTGTCCCTGTCCCCAGGTTCCCCCAGCCCAGAACCCTGGTCTTGAACTCCCTTCAGGAGGACTTATTCTTGGCCATCACTCAAGCTGTGTGCACATGAGCCAGCCTGAGGTGTGGCAGTCAGGAAAACTGGCACTACTAGCTGAGGACCCAATCCCAGGGGGAGGACAGGGCCAGAACCATGGCAAGGATCAAAGGCAATGCCAACAGATGGTGGCTCTCTGGACCCTGGAGGGGGTTCCTGAGAGACCTGTGGGTATGCACTGGGCTCGCCAATTGCTCCAGGGGCTTCTCCTGAAACCACCTCAAGCTGTGATTCCCAGGATGTCAAGAAGAGGGGTGGTTAGGTAGGCAGAGCTAGAAAACAGGTGTCTTAAAACCAAAAAGAGAGAGATACACACAGACTGTGTGGAGTGCCCCAAGGGAGTGTGGGATCAGACACACTAGAGCCCAGGTCCTAAGGGGCCGTGTGAGCCCCAACAGTCACGCTAACTTTTGATGCCCATCTGGGGAGGGGCTAGTAGAGGCTGATCACAGGGTGGTACCTGTGGGTTGGTTGACCTGCCTGGAAAGAACCAGAGCCGAGAAACTGGAAAGGCGGACACAGGCAAGAGTCCCTCCTGTGTGGTGGGGGTCACCCAGCCTGTTCCCAGTGCCACAGGCCCTTCCCCAGGTAGTCTTCTTATGCCCCTGGCCTAGCAGGATATATGTAGCAGCACTCAGTGCCCCACTGTGGGAGCTCCCCGGGTGGGGTTTCCAGTTTGGGTAAGGAATCAGCCTACCTCTTCTCGCCCCCATTCCAAACCTGGAAGACCAGGGAGAAAGAGGGCTGACAGGAAGGTGCAAATGAGGACTGAGTTTGGAGTTAGAGCTGGGGGTGACATGGGGGGTTTGGGGCTGGTAATGTTGAGTGGGGACTGGTGCTGGAGACTGGGTTTACATGGTGGGCAGGCTGGGTTTGGGGTTGGGTTGGAGGTGGAATCAGCTGTCCAGCACAGCTGGTGGAGGAGGGGGCTGGGGTCGGGGATGGCAGTGGTCCCGGGCTTAGGTTTCTGTCAGGGTTAGGCTAATGCTGGGAACTAGCTTAGAAGGTGGCAGTGGAATCTGATGTTGGAATCCTCCCTCTCTTCTAGCCCCTGTCACTTTCTTGCTGATGCCAGCTGGGCAGGGGGCAAGGAAAGGATGGGTGAGAGAGTGAGCTTTGTGTCCCATGTCCCTAGCCATCCCAGAAGCCCCTCTGCTGGGGCCCACTGCTGGCGGAGCAGCTCTCTCCTCTGTGGGTTCTCCCCAGTCACACCCTCAAGGCCTGCTCCACCCCCTCCCCTGGTCCCAGCCATCAGAGAGGGTGCCCACATCCCACTCCCTGACTCTCAATTCCTTGCTCCAGCATCTTTGTCCTAAGTGTGTACACTGACTGACAGTCTCGGCTGGAGGGACCCTTTGAGAAAGCTGGGGCTAGGGCTGGGCTCAGGGCGGGGGTAGGGGGAGTAGACAGGGAGGCTAAGCCGCAGAGGAATGCTGCTGCCGGCTAGGAGGTGCCTGGCATGACCACCCCCGCCCAGCCTGGGGAGGGAGGGCTCGGCCTTCTGCTGACTGGGGGAAGAGGGCACCCACTGGGGTGTGAGGGGTGGGGCAGCTGGAGAGAGAGGCCCTCTGGACTGACAGGGCTGCTCCCACAAAGCCTCATGGACTCTCAGTACCAAGGTCTGGGACTCTAGAATCTGTGGACTTTCCCCTCGGCCCCCTCTGTAAGGTACCCCATCCTGCCCTCCTCACCCTGGAGTAGCCAAACCCTGAACACCCTCCACCCTCCAACCCTGGCCTGAGGCTGGAGTTGGTGGCAAGGGCACTGGCTTCAGGGTTTCTTCTCTCCATGTGTTGGTTTCAGGGACTGTTCCAGGGTCTGAGGAGAGTCTAGCTTCCTCTACCCTCTGTTATTTTCTGGACAAGGATATACGATCCTCCCCAGGAGGCAGTGCCCCCCAGCCCCGACCCATGGTAAAGAGGACCCACATCTGCCCCCTCAGTTCCACCACAGTGGAATTCACACAATCAGGACCCAGAGTTGAGAGGCCACCCCTAGATCCTCCTGTCCAACCACCCCGGCAAGCAGCATTAGAAAAGCACCTCTCGGGCCCGGGCACGGTGGCTCATGCCTATAATCCCAGCACTTTGGGAGGCCAAGGCGAGTGGATCACCTGAGGTCAGGAGTTCAAGACCAGCCTGACCAACATGGTGAAACCTTGTCTCTACTGAAAATACAAAAATTAGCCAGGCATGGTGGCCCGTGCCTGTAGTCCCAGCTACCCAGGAGGCGGAGGTTGCAGTGAGCTGAGACCGCGCCATGGCACTCCAGTCTGGGTGACAGAGTGAGACTCTGTATCTAAATAAACAAAAAATAAAAAATCGAAAAGCACCTCTTGGGCCGGGCACAATGGCTCATGCCTGTAATCCCAGCACTTTGGAAGGCCGAGGTGGGCGGATCACCTGAGGTCAGGAATTGGAGACCAGCCTGGTCAACATGGTGAAACCCTGTCTCTACTAAAAATACAAAAATTAGCTGGGCATGGTGGCGCATGCTTGTAATTCCAGCTACTTGGGAGGCTAACGCACGAGAATCACTTGAACCTGGGAGGCAGAGGTTGCAGTGAGCTGAGATCGCACCACTGAACTCCAGTGTGGGTGACAGAGTGAGATTCTCTCACAGAAAAAAAAAAAAAAGAAAGAAAAGCACCTCTTTCTCAAGGTGCTCAGCCCACTTCCCAGGCCCTGGTGCAAGGCATTTCACATCCATTATTCTGGCCAATCCCACACCCAAGTTAAGCCGATGTTATCATCCTTTTATAGGTGAAGAAACTCAGGCTCAGAGAAGTAATTTGCTCAAGGTCACACACACAGCTAGTAAGTAGCAGAGACTGAGCTCTCCCCCAGCCACGCTGCTTCTGTTACCCACCCTCAGTCCCAGGGAGCTCACCCCCTAATGAAGTAGCCGATTGCACTTGCAGACAGCTTTGATGATAAGAAAGTGTTTCCTTTCCTTGAACTGGCATCTGCCCCTTGAAACCTCTATTCCTACTTCTAACTCCTGCCAGGAGCAGCAGGCTGACCACTCTCACCCTCCAGCCCGTGAAAGATTTTGGGGGCAGAGATCATAGTCCTCTGAGGCTGTATTCCTTGGGCCTCACATCTCTCAGTCCATAAATCATAGGGCACAGCCCCCACCCCAGGTCCTGTCCTCTGGGTGCCCCATCCCAGGGCCTCACATCTTCCAAGACGGACACTCAGAGGGAGGCCAACCTGGAGTGCTCTGGCACTCACGGGGGCCCCTCTGCCGTCCTCTCCGCCTCCCACCACACCCCAGGCTGCTGAACGAAAGTGACAAGCGCCCCTTCATCGAGGAGGCTGAGCGGCTCCGTATGCAGCACAAGAAGGACCACCCGGACTACAAGTACCAACCCAGGCGGCGGAAGAACGGGAAGGCTGCCCAAGGCGAGGCAGAGTGTCCCGGTGGGGAGGCGGAGCAAGGTGGGACCGCCGCCATCCAGGCCCACTACAAGAGTGCCCACTTGGACCACCGGCACCCAGGAGAGGGCTCCCCCATGTCAGATGGGAACCCCGAGCACCCCTCAGGTGAGTGCTGATGACAGGGCTGAGGGTGGGGCAAGGCCAGTCAGTGGAGAGAGGAGACGGCTGGATGGCAATGAGACCCTGGACTCTAGGGAGAGTGTGCCAGGCTGTGCAGTTGCCCCAGCAGAGCTGCAGGGGCCCAGAGGGAGCTCCATGGGGGTTCCAGTGCCAGGGGCAGCGGCTGGGCAAGATGGCTCTGGTCAGGGCTGATCCAAGGGGTCACTGCTGCTGGGCAAAGAGGGCCAGTTAAAGAGTCTATAGAGGCCAACTGGCCAGGCACAGTGGCTCACGCCTGTAATCCCAGCACTTTGGGAGGCCAAGGCGGGCCGATCACAAGGTCAAGAGTTCGAGAGCAGCCGGGCACGGTGGCTCAAGCCTGTAATCCCAGCACTTTGGGAGGCCGAGACGGGCGGATCACGAGGTCAGGAGATCGAGACCATCCTGGCTAACATGGTGAAACCCCGTCTCTACTAAAAATACAAAAAAACTAGCTGGGCGAGGTGGCGGGCGCCTGTAGTCCCAGCTACTCGGGAGGCTGAGGCAGGAGAATGGCGTAAACTCGGGAGGCAGAGCTTGCAGTGAGCTGAGATCCGGCCACTGCACTCCAGCCTGGGCGACAGAGCGAGACTCCATCTCAAAAAAAAAAAAAAAAAAAGAGTTTGAGAGCAGCCTGGCCAATATGGGGGAAAAAAAAGAGTCTGTGGAGGCCATGGAGTGAGAGGTGGCTGGGGTAGTTACAAGGAAAGGGGAAGAAGACAGGACAGTTTTGAGAAATGGAAGATCAAATGGAGGAGAGGAAATCACTGCCTCTTTCCCACCAGCCATTCTTTTTTTTTTTTTTTTTCTGGAGACAGAGTCCCACTCTGTCGCCCAGGCTAGACTGCAGTGGGATGATCTCGGCTCACTGCAACCTCCACCTCCTGGGTTCAAGCAATTCTCCTGCCTCAGCCTCCCGAGTAGCTGGGACTATAGGTGCACACTGCCACGTCTGGCTCATTTTGTGTATTTTAGTAGAGATAGGGTTTCACTGTATTGCCCAGGCCCAGTCTCAAACTCCTGAGCTCAGGCAATCTGCCCACCTCTCGGCCTCCCAAATCCCACCAGCCATCCTGACAGAGGAGACACGGCATGTGATGCTGAGCACAGGCCATGGATGAGCCAGACATAAGCTATCTTGTTTAATTTTCATTAATGATAATAACAGCTAACATTAATTGAGCACCTACTGTGTTCCAGGCACTGTGCTAGGTGCTAGTTGCCTTATATATACTAACTCAGTCATTGCAAACAATGTGATGAGATAGCCAAACTGCCTGGGCTCAGATCTCAGCTATGGCAAGTTACTCTCATTCATTTTACTGATGAGAAACAGACAGGAACTTCCTCAGTTTGGCTCCAGGGCTTCTACTTGGCACCACGGCTGCCTTGCCTGTGTTCCTAATGTACAGAAAGTGACACACACAGGTCTGCCACATGGAAAGTGCTCAGTGAGCAAAGCTCCTGCCTTCAGAGAACACGCTCTGAGTCCTACTTTGTGTCAAACACTGGAGTGGACACCAGGGGTACTAACCAGAGAAGCCTACAGTCCCTGGCCTCAGGGGCCCATAGTCTAGAGAGTCTAGAGAGCAGGGATGAAAACGAGTGAATTAAATACAGGAAGAAACGAAGTTGGGCATGGTGGAAGGTGCCTGCAGTCCCAGCTACACAGGAGGCTGAGGTGGGAGGATCACCCGAGCCCATGAGTTTGAGACCAGCATGGGCAATATAGTAAGACTGTGTCTTTTTTTTTTTTTTTGAGATGGAGTCTTGCTCTGTTGCCCAGGCTGCAGTGCAGTGGTGCCATCTCGGCTCACTGCAACCTCTGCCTCCTGGGAAGTGACTCTCGTGCCTCAGCCTCCTGAGTAGCTGGGATTACAGGTACATGCTACCACACCCAGCTAATTATTATATAGTAGAGATGGGTTTTCACCATGTTGGCCAGGCTGGTCTTGAATTCCTGACCTCAGGCTCCCAAAGTGCTGGGATTACAGGCGTGAGCCACCGTGCCCAGCCTCCTATCTCTTAAAAAAAAAAATTATATATATATAATATATATATATAATTATATATATATAAAAAAATTATATATATAATATATATATAAATTTATATATATATAAATATAATATATATATTTATATATATTATTTATATTTATAATATTATATATATATATATATATAGAGAGAGAGAGAGAGAGAGAGAGAGAGAGAGAGAAGTACACAAGAAGCCTGTGTGAGATCCAGGGGTGGCACAGCCGTCCATCCCATCCAGTTAGGTCTCCAAGAACCCCTGCTGCCCACCAGACTCTTGTCAAGGAAGGCTTCCAGAAAGAGGCAATGGCTGGGCTGCTTGGTACAATCTCTATTTTACTGATAAGGAAACTGGTTAAGAGAAGACTGGGGATTTGTCCAGACACAGAACCAGGATTCAAAAACCTAGGCAGGTCTCTTGAAGTACAGAGCCCTTGGCCAATGCAGGACTCGGCGCTGCCTCTGGTCTGAGGAAGGAGGAACAAGCCTGTCCTTGGGGAGCTCTTAGTCTCTTACGACCGTGGATGTGTTCTGTCTCCAATGGGATGCCAGGCAGTCATCCCTCCCACACACATGCACATACTCTTCACCTTCAAAGATTCAGGGACACACAAACACACACACACATCAGGAGACACTGGACCACATACAGAGCAACCACCTCCGAAAGAAACTGTGGACACAGACTTTTTCTCACTCTTCAAGGCCCCACCCCACTCAGATATCCTTCCCCGATGAGACCTTCCCCAAATCCCTGGGGCAGCGAGTAGACTCCTCCTCTGGTCTCCCAAGTCCTTGCATATTGTCATCACAGCACTTCCAACTCTGGGCGCATGTGGGTCTATGGATCTATGACTATATGAGCTTTGGGAACAGGGATCCATTTTATTTACATTTGTATCCCCAGCACCTGGCACAGTACCTGGCATTTTGTAATGCTCCCTAAGAGTTTGCCGAATTAATATGTGAATAGGAAAGTGAACAGACAAAGGAACAAGGACCAGTTTTCTAAATGCTCTCCCACGGAGGAAGGCAGCTCAAGGAACGACAGGGCAACACAGACCAGCGTGTGACGGGGCTGAGGGCCCAGAGAAAAAGTGTGTGTCCTCAGACCCTCAGCCCAGTGAGCTGGGCAGCAGGGCGGGCTTAGGAGGAGGGAAGGGTTGGAAAGGACACAACACGAGGCCAGGGCAGGGAGCAGGCTCAGGCAACCAGCAAAGGTGAAACAGAGCACTCAGGAGCCTGGGTGAGCAAGGCCCAGCAAGGAGGGCAGTCAGCATGGGTGTGGAAGCGGGGCTGGCAGAGCACAAAGGCCGGGCCAGACCACTTGGGCAGCAGAGAAGCTGATGAGAGGAAGAACTTTCCACAGGAAAGGTTTTTCAGAATGAGGCAGGCCTCCCCAGGTGGGTGACAGGGGAGGAGGCAGGATTCATCCCTAAGATTTGAGAATTTCATAAACAACTGGAGACCAATCTAAGACACTAGTATTTAAACAAATGCTGCCAGGTGCAGTGGCTCACGCTGATAATCCCAGCACTTTGGGAGGCCGAGGCAGGTGGATCACCTGAGGTCAGGAGTTCGAGACAACCCTGGCCAACATGGCGAAACCCCGTCTCTACTAAAAATACACAAATTAGCTGGGCATTGTGGCGGGCGCTTGTAATCCGAGCTACTCAGGAGGCTGAGGCAGGAGAATCGTTTGAACCCGGGAGGCAGAGGTTGCAGTGAGCCAAGATGGCGCCACTGCACTCCAGCCTGGGTGACAAGAGCGAAACTCTGTCTCAAAAAAAAAAAAAAAAAAAGCCGATTCATGCTGCCAAAACTTGAAACTTACAAGGTTTTCCCAGAGGCACCCGCTGCCTGAAGGTGAACCATTGAAGTTCACGTGCGCCCACCTGCCTCTAACCTGTTTCCCCCTTTTGCTCTCTCTCTGTCTCCCTTCCACCCAGGCCAGAGCCATGGCCCACCCACCCCTCCAACCACCCCAAAGACAGAGCTGCAGTCGGGCAAGGCAGACCCGAAGCGGGACGGGCGCTCCATGGGGGAGGGCGGGAAGCCTCACATCGATTTCGGCAATGTGGACATCGGTGAGATCAGCCACGAGGTAATGTCCAACATGGAGACCTTTGATGTGGCTGAGTTGGACCAGTACCTGCCGCCCAATGGGCACCCAGGCCACGTGGGCAGCTACTCAGCAGCTGGCTATGGGCTGGGCAGCGCCCTGGCTGTGGCCAGTGGACACTCCGCCTGGATCTCCAAGCCACCAGGCGTGGCTCTGCCCACGGTCTCACCACCTGGTGTGGATGCCAAAGCCCAGGTGAAGACAGAGACCGCGGGGCCCCAGGGGCCCCCGCACTACACCGACCAGCCATCCACCTCACAGATCGCCTACACCTCCCTCAGCCTGCCCCACTACGGCTCAGCCTTCCCCTCCATCTCCCGCCCCCAGTTTGACTACTCTGACCATCAGCCCTCAGGACCCTATTACGGCCATTCGAGCCAGGCCTCTGGCCTCTACTCGGCTTTCTCCTATATGGGGCCCTCACAGCGGCCCCTCTACACGGCCATCTCTGACCCCAGCCCCTCAGGGCCCCAGTCCCACAGCCCCACACACTGGGAGCAGCCAGTATATACGACACTGTCCCGACCCTAAAGGGGGCCCTGTCGCCACCACCCCCCGCCCAGCCCCTCCCCCAGCCTGTGTGCCCTGTTCCTCGCCCACCTCAGGCCTGGCGGTGGCAGTGGAGGAGGCTGAGGAGGCTGAAGAGGCTGACGGGTCGGGGGGCTTTCTGTCTGGCTCACTGCCCTGATGACCCGCCCGCCCCATCCAGGCTCCAGCAGCAAAGCCCCAGGCGAACAGGCTGGACAGAGGAGAAGGAGGTTGACTGTTGCTCCCACACTGAAAGATGAGGGGCTGCACCTTCCCCCAGGAATGACCCTCTATCCCAGGACCTGAGAAGGACCTGCTCACCCTCCTCGGGGAGGGGAAGCACCAGGGTTGGTGGCATCGGAGGCCTTACCACTCCTATGACTCCTGTTTCCTCTCTCACAGAGAGTGAGGGTCTGACATGCCCATGCCACCTGTGCCACAGTGCCTTAGGGCTAGGCCACCCAGAGACTGTGTCCGGAGCTGGCCGTGTCTCCCACTCAGGGGCTGAGAGTAGCTTTGAGGAGCCTCATGGGGAGTGGAGGGTTCGAGGGACTTAGTGGAGTTCTCATCCCTTCAATGTCCTCTCCCCTTCCGAAGGCAGGAAGGAGTTGGCACAGAGGCCCCCAGATCCAATTCTGTGCCAGTAACCTCATTCTTTGTCTAATCGAGAAAGAGCCCCCAGTCCTCCTCCATTACAACCTCTGTGACCTTGAGGCGCATCCCAGGAGGTGAGGAGGCAGGGGCTCCAGGAAAGGAATCAGAGACAATTCACAGAGCCTTCCTCCCTGGGCTCCTTGCCAGCTCCCTCTTCCCTTACTAGGCTCTACGTCCCCTGCTCTGTCAGCCCCACTCCCTGGGCTTCCCAGAGAGTGACAGCTGCTCAGGCCTGAACCCTTTGCTCCAGGAGACACAGGGCCCAGCACCCAGGTTGCTGGCAGCAGGCTGAAGACACTAGAATCCTGACCTGTACATTCTGCCCTTGCCTCTTGCCCCTTGCCTCCCAGTGGTATTTGAATAAAGTATGTAGCTATATCTGCCCCCCATTTTCCTGTTCTGCAGCCCCCCAAATCCACATGTAACTCATTACTGTCTCCTGTTATTTATCTCAGTAGTCCCCTCTCCTAGCCACTCTAGCCCCTATTAACTCTGCGTTAAGCATTCCACATAATAAAATTAAAGGTTCCGGTTACCTGCTTGGTGAGCCTGACCTGGCCTGTCTCTTCATCTCTTATCCCTGTACTGGTGCTTCCTCAAATGCTTTCTGGAAGTAGCTAGGAGTAGAATGCAAAGGACAGATCATCAAAGGTCTCTCTCTCCCACCTCCTTCCCTCTTTCCCCACCCCCTTCCCCTTCCCCCTCCTCTCTTCTCCCTCCCCCTCCTCTCTCCCCCATCTCCACCTCTCCTCTCTCTCTCTCCCCCACTCCCCCTCTCCTTTCTCTCTCTCGCTCTCTCTATCCCTGCTAAGAAATTAGGAACAACGGAGTCGGTTAGGATAGCTGGCATCCCAGTGAGGTCTGTCTGAGCTCAAGGACTGAAGCCTCAGATGGGAGCTTCTCCCCAGCCGGCTATGCCCCACACTGCAGGGGGGCCACTCACTCTTAACTGGCTCAGCTGGAACTCACTGCCTTGCAAGCAGCCCCTCTGCTCACCCAGCACCCAGCAGAGGGGAGCTGGCAAAGAATTCAAGAGACAGGTGTCTGAAGAGGAGAAGGTGGGTTGAGTGTGACACTGTGCTGCCTGCAGTCAGAGGCCTGTCCTTCAGGATGTGTGGATAGGCCCTGTGTTGCTGCATCCCCCTACTTGCCACCTCCCCCAGCACATACACAGCAGCCCATGCCAGGATCTAGCCAAGCCTTCACAGCAGCTGCCCTTGTCCAAGTCTAGACCAAGGATGTCAGACAGTCTACTCCTTAAGCACCTACTCCCTAAGAGCTCTTTCCTCAGCAGAAGTCCAAACTGCACTCAGAGGCCAGGACCACTCCACCTCACAAGCACACAACTGCAAGGACAGGGGAAATCTCTTTGCCATCTTGCTCCACTGATGAACAACTCCGATGGTTGGAAGTTCTTCCTCATACCCAGCTTCTAACAGCTTATATACAGCTGCCATTTACTAAGTGCTCCACTAAGGGTCTTATGTCATTCAGGCCAGTGAAGGGGTAGGTCCAGTCGTTATCTCAATTTTCCAGATGGGGAAACTGAAGTTTGAGAGGTTGATGCTAAGAAGTGCTGGCGCCAGAATCTGAAGCCAGCTCTGACTCCAAGGCTTGCACTTTTAACCATCATCCCCTCTACCTGCCTGTGGTTTGCAGACCCTACTTCTGCTTTGTATCTGGAGCAATGCATCTTCAACTGCTCCAGACTGGGTATCGTCAGCTCCCTTCCTTCCATCTGTGGTCTCCAGCCCCTAGTCAGGACTGGGGCAGAGACAGGGCACCAAGAACTAGCCCAGTCTCCAGGGTGACCAAAATCCCTCCATCTGGGAGCTGCACTATGGAAGCTCTTCAGGCAACCTCCCCAAAACTGCTGGTTCCCGTGAAGCTGGATGGTAACCGAAACCCCTGATCTTTTAGACAATATCCATTGCAAAGTCATATCCAAATTGTATGTATGTCGTTGTTTTGTTTTAGATAAAAGCAGGACTTTACACTGATCTTTAACAGATCTCACCTTGTTGGGTTTGACCCATTTCCCCACCTGTATTAAACCTTTTAGAACTTAGCTCTCCTTTAGAGCTTTATGTATCTGCAAACTTGAATAGCCTCATTCAAGTCACTAATAAAGGTCGAAATGAAGAGGGACACCTGCGTACAGCACTAAATGCCTCTCTCCACCGTCAGTTCTATTATCTCCACTCTTTTTTTTTTTTTTAAGATGGAGTTTTGCTCTGTTGCCAGGCTGGAGTGCAATGGTGCAATCCTGGCTCACTGCAACCTGTCTCCTGGGTTCAAGTGATTCTCCTACCTCAGCCTCCTGAGTAGCTGGGACTACAGGTGCCCACCACCACGCCCGGCCAATTTTTTGTATTTTTTTAGTAGACAGGGTTTCACCACATTGGCCAGGATGGCCTCAATATCCTGACCTCATGATCCACCCCCTCAGCCTCCCAAAGTGTTGGGATTACAGGCGTGAGCCACCGCACCTGGCCTATTATCTCCACCCTTCTTTTTCTTTTTTTTCTTTTTTCTTTTTTTTTTTTTTTGAGATGGAGTCTCGCTGTGTTACCCAGGCTGGAGTGCAGTGGCGCAATTTTGGCTCACTGCAAGCTCTGCCTCCTGGGTTCACACCATTCTCCTGCCTCAGCCTCCCAAGTAGCTGGGACTACAGGCGCCCACCACCATACCTGGCTAATTTTTTGTATTTTTCAGTAGACAGGGTTTCACCATGTTAGCCAGGATGGTATCAATATCCTGACCTCGTGATCCACCCGCCTCGGCCTCCCAAAGTGCTAGGATTACAGGTGTGAGCCACCATGCCCGGCTATTATCTCCACTCTTAAGGAGGCTGTCTAATCAGTTCTATCTCCACTCTTAAGGAGGCTGTCTAATCAGTTCTAAAACTGTCTAACTACATCACCATGAAGCACATGCTTCTCTGTCACGGTGGCATGGAGACTGCCAATGCCTTGTCAAAATCAAGATTCACTGATCTCTGGCATTCCCTCAACCTACTGGACTAGACCAGTAACCATTGAAAAAAAAAAAAACTTATTTGGCAATATTGGTTCTTAGACAACCCATGCTAGCGCCTGATCTCCTTTTTATTATATAAGCACTTTTAAACATGGAGTGACCTATTCTAGAATTTTTTTTTTTTTTTTGAGACAGAGTCTCGCTCTGTCGTCCAGTCTGGAGTGCAGTGGCGCGATCTCGGCTCACTGCAAGTTCCACCTCCCAGGTTCACGCCATTCTCCCACCTCAGCCTCCTGAGCAGCTGGGACTACAAGCCCCCGCCACCACGTGCAGCTAATTTTTTTGTATTTTTAGGAGACAGGGTTTCACTGTGTTAGCCAGGATAGTCTCGATCTCCTGACCTCGTGATCTGCCCGCCTCGGCCTCCCAAAGTGCTGGGATTACAGGCATGAGCCACTGCGCCTGGCCAACCTATTCTAGAATTTTGTCACAGATCAATCAGTACTAACCTTATGTGTTTATAATTTTTACAACCCACCCTTTCCTCTTCATTGAAAGGCAGGACTTTTGTCCATTTGCAGTCTGTTCACTACTCCTGCTCGCAGTGGGATGAGGGATATGGAACTGGCATGGTGGGGAGCAAGGGGCACATCCGGAAGATGACACTATCACCTCCAAGACCCCACATCTCATGAGATTGAGTGGGAAATCACTGAGGATGTGGAAGGAGGGGAAATGACCCCAGAGAAGTCAGAAGACCTGGGTTGTGCACATCCCTTAGACCAAAGGTTCCAAGGGTACGCAGGCCTCAGGAAGGCAGGAGCTCCACTTGTTAAAAAAGAGTCGGGTGTTTCTGGAAATGACTCAAGAGACTATGCCCAAACCCTAAGGAAACAGAACCAGTAGTGGTGACTGGTGACATTTTATTCAAGAGAAGTCAAAACCCAGGCCCAGCCAGCTGAATAGCAGGGGACTCCCCAAAAGAGGAGAATGGGAAGAGGAAGACGGAGGAAAAACACCCATTCTGTCCCATTTCCCTTGCACCCTATCCCCTAAGGGTTAACCCCCCACTCCCCTCCTCCCCAGCCCAAACCCCATCTCCCTTTAATCACATCTGATACTGAGCAGCCCAGCAGGGAACAAAGAGACTATTTAGAGAAATGGGGCCGAGAAAGTGACCCCCGCACTCTGGGGCGGCTGCCTGGATGCCAGCACAAAGGCGGCATTTCAGAGCTGAAATTTCAGCACCCAACTTGATTAAAGGATTCCACAGGCTTGGAGGAGGATGGATGGGGGTGTGAAGTCCACTGCTCCCTGAATTAACCCTTCTCCAGGGCAGCAGACACCCCTCCCACCAGTGCAGATGCTCACCATTCACTCCCCACACCCCATCCTGGGACCAGGCTGCACCCAGGCCCGGAGGCCCTGCCTCCTGCAGAGGTTAGGGAAGCCCAGCTCCTCCTCTTGGAAGGGGAGCTGGCAGTGGAATGGAGGTCAAGGCTGGCATATTCAGGAAGCCAGTTTTCCCTCTATTCCTGTTCAGTCAATATACACCCTCCCCGTGACCCCCTAGGAGGGAGGAGCCAGTGTGACTGGTCTTACCTCAGGTTGGGTAAGCAGGATGGAGAAAGGAAGAGGACCCATTAGAACCTCAGGCAGAGGAAGCGGGAGCTCCAGCTGACTTAATGTAACACCTGGAACCCAGAAGCACCACCACCCCAGTACCATCCCTGCAAGGCCTCAGAGGATCACCAGCCCCAAACAGGAAGGAAAGGATATCTTATAGGGGCTGGGAAGATGGCATGGGTGTGGCACACCAAAGAGGTGGGCCACAGAGGACAGCGTGTGGGCAGAGTCCTGAGGAGGAGTGGGGACAGAGGCATGGGGGCAGGGGTAGGCAGGTGCTCGGTCCTTGCTTCAGCCGCTGACTTGCCCAGCAGGGCTCTGCCTGGGGACGGTGGGAGATCAGCACACCCCCACGCTTCCTGCTGGGGCACTGCTCCTGAAAGGGGATCCGAGCCCACGATAAGAGGCTCGAAGCAGGTCCTTAGGAAACAATGGGTGGCTTGATGAGACCTGCTCTGTGATACTCCTGAGAAGGGAGAAGCCCCTGCAGCCAGTCCCCACTGGAAAGGAAATTGGGGGTTTCCGTGGCAACCAGCTCCCTGGGCACAAAGACTCGTCTGTCTGCTGGGAAGGCAGCTGAGGTGTCTCCCCTGCAGCAGCCTTTGCTCTGGGGAACAGGGAGATGGAGGGAAGGATGTGGGGGATCCAAAGGGGCTAAGGGCCTCTGGTGCTTCTTAAGGAGCTGACAGTCACAGGGCCACTGGAATAGGTGTATGCTCCAGGCAGCATGGCGGTAACAGGGAAGCAAAAGGTGGTGACATCGCAGATAAGCAGAGGGGAAGGGGGTTGGAAAGTTGAATATTTTATTTACACATATAAAGTGGGAATGAAAATTGGGCAAGGGCAGGAAGATGACTCCAGCTCAGTCGGTGATGATGAGCTCGTCCACCCCCCAGTCTTCATAGCTCCCATCTGGCAGGTAACGGCGAATGATGATGGGGATCTTTC